CCTATACAGAAAAACCACCAAAAAAAAAAAAAAAAAAAAAAAAAGCTCATTTTGCTTAAGAATAACTATTGAGCTGTGAAATATGTAAGTATGGTTTGCTTCTGTCTCTCCACCGGGCTTTACGTGTCAGTACTTCCAGCAACTTTGCACTTTTAAATGTCTCGAAAACCTTTTTTTCTTTTTTAAGTTTTTGTCATAGGGCACGCGCACTCACCAGAGAGAGTAACAGAGAAAGTGAGAAATCACCCTTCCCAGGAGGATGGCCACCCCACCATCCCTTCTCCTCCGTTTCCCTCCTGGGATTTTGGACACAAATGCACACACGCTTAGCATGATTTTCAGGCCTCCAGGTCTGGGACTGGAACCATGCTCGGCCGTGTGGGAGTCCAGTGCCTTAACCACTATTATTTTTTTTTAAAGAAAACGTCACAGAAGAGTGAAGAGCAAAATGTGGACATGCACCTTCCCGGGCGCTCCAGAGGCCACCGCTGCTAACACTGCCCTGCGTTTCTTGTACCCATTCTGAGCACACGTAGTCAACGTACATGGAGACAGACACGCACTTTCACATAGATAGTCGCACTACGCACACTGATCAGCACCTTGGCTTTTTTTTTTTTTCTTTCCACTTAAAAAATGCCTGAGCTCCATCTTATCGGATATGTTCATTGGCCTCATTTTTTTTTTTTTTTCTTTCCACTTAAAAAATGCCTGAGCTCCATCTTATCGGATATGTTCATTGGCCTCATTTTTTTTTTTTTTTCTTTCCACTTAAAAAATGCCTGAGCTCCATCTTATCGGATATGTTCATTGGCCTCATTTTTTTTTTTTTTTCTTTCCACTTAAAAAATGCCTGAGCTCCATCTTATCGGATATGTTCATTGGCCTCATTTTTTTTTTTTTTTCTTTCCACTTAAAAAATGCCTGAGCTCCATCTTATCGGATATGTTCATTGGCCTCATTTTTTTTTTTTTTTCTTTCCACTTAAAAAATGCCTGAGCTCCATCTTATCGGATATGTTCATTGGCCTCATTTTTTTTTTTTTTTCTTTCCACTTAAAAAATGCCTGAGCTCCATCTTATCGGATATGTTCATTGGCCTCATTTTTTTTTTTTTTTCTTTCCACTTAAAAAATGCCTGAGCTCCATCTTATCGGATATGTTCATTGGCCTCATTTTTTTTTTTTTTTCTTTCCACTTAAAAAATGCCTGAGCTCCATCTTATCGGATATGTTCATTGGCCTCATTTTTTTTTTTTTTTCTTTCCACTTAAAAAATGCCTGAGCTCCATCTTATCGGATATGTTCATTGGCCTCATTTTTTTTTTTTTTTCTTTCCACTTAAAAAATGCCTGAGCTCCATCTTATCGGATATGTTCATTGGCCTCATTTTTTTTTTTTTTTCTTTCCACTTAAAAAATGCCTGAGCTCCATCTTATCGGATATGTTCATTGGCCTCATTTTTTTTTTTTTTTCTTTCCACTTAAAAAATGCCTGAGCTCCATCTTATCGGATATGTTCATTGGCCTCATTTTTTTTTTTTTTTCTTTCCACTTAAAAAATGCCTGAGCTCCATCTTATCGGATATGTTCATTGGCCTCATTTTTTTTTTTTTTTCTTTCCACTTAAAAAATGCCTGAGCTCCATCTTATCGGATATGTTCATTGGCCTCATTTTTTTTTTTTTTTCTTTCCACTTAAAAAATGCCTGAGCTCCATCTTATCGGATATGTTCATTGGCCTCATTTTTTTTTTTTTTTCTTTCCACTTAAAAAATGCCTGAGCTCCATCTTATCGGATATGTTCATTGGCCTCATTTTTTTTTTTTTTTCTTTCCACTTAAAAAATGCCTGAGCTCCATCTTATCGGATATGTTCATTGGCCTCATTTTTTTTTTTTTTTCTTTCCACTTAAAAAATGCCTGAGCTCCATCTTATCGGATATGTTCATTGGCCTCATTTTTTTTTTTTTTTCTTTCCACTTAAAAAATGCCTGAGCTCCATCTTATCGGATATGTTCATTGGCCTCATTTTTTTTTTTTTTTCTTTCCACTTAAAAAATGCCTGAGCTCCATCTTATCGGATATGTTCATTGGCCTCATTTTTTTTTTTTTTTCTTTCCACTTAAAAAATGCCTGAGCTCCATCTTATCGGATATGTTCATTGGCCTCATTTTTTTTTTTTTTTCTTTCCACTTAAAAAATGCCTGAGCTCCATCTTATCGGATATGTTCATTGGCCTCATTTTTTTTTTTTTTTCTTTCCACTTAAAAAATGCCTGAGCTCCATCTTATCGGATATGTTCATTGGCCTCATTTTTTTTTTTTTTTCTTTCCACTTAAAAAATGCCTGAGCTCCATCTTATCGGATATGTTCATTGGCCTCATTTTTTTTTTTTTTTCTTTCCACTTAAAAAATGCCTGAGCTCCATCTTATCGGATATGTTCATTGGCCTCATTTTTTTTTTTTTTTCTTTCCACTTAAAAAATGCCTGAGCTCCATCTTATCGGATATGTTCATTGGCCTCATTTTTTTTTTTTTTTCTTTCCACTTAAAAAATGCCTGAGCTCCATCTTATCGGATATGTTCATTGGCCTCATTTTTTTTTTTTTTTCTTTCCACTTAAAAAATGCCTGAGCTCCATCTTATCGGATATGTTCATTGGCCTCATTTTTTTTTTTTTTTCTTTCCACTTAAAAAATGCCTGAGCTCCATCTTATCGGATATGTTCATTGGCCTCATTTTTTTTTTTTTTTCTTTCCACTTAAAAAATGCCTGAGCTCCATCTTATCGGATATGTTCATTGGCCTCATTTTTTTTTTTTTTTCTTTCCACTTAAAAAATGCCTGAGCTCCATCTTATCGGATATGTTCATTGGCCTCATTTTTTTTTTTTTTTCTTTCCACTTAAAAAATGCCTGAGCTCCATCTTATCGGATATGTTCATTGGCCTCATTTTTTTTTTTTTTTCTTTCCACTTAAAAAATGCCTGAGCTCCATCTTATCGGATATGTTCATTGGCCTCATTTTTTTTTTTTTTTCTTTCCACTTAAAAAATGCCTGAGCTCCATCTTATCGGATATGTTCATTGGCCTCATTTTTTTTTTTTTTTCTTTCCACTTAAAAAATGCCTGAGCTCCATCTTATCGGATATGTTCATTGGCCTCATTTTTTTTTTTTTTTCTTTCCACTTAAAAAATGCCTGAGCTCCATCTTATCGGATATGTTCATTGGCCTCATTTTTTTTTTTTTTTCTTTCCACTTAAAAAATGCCTGAGCTCCATCTTATCGGATATGTTCATTGGCCTCATTTTTTTTTTTTTTTCTTTCCACTTAAAAAATGCCTGAGCTCCATCTTATCGGATATGTTCATTGGCCTCATTTTTTTTTTTTTTTCTTTCCACTTAAAAAATGCCTGAGCTCCATCTTATCGGATATGTTCATTGGCCTCATTTTTTTTTTTTTTTCTTTCCACTTAAAAAATGCCTGAGCTCCATCTTATCGGATATGTTCATTGGCCTCATTTTTTTTTTTTTTTCTTTCCACTTAAAAAATGCCTGAGCTCCATCTTATCGGATATGTTCATTGGCCTCATTTTTTTTTTTTTTTCTTTCCACTTAAAAAATGCCTGAGCTCCATCTTATCGGATATGTTCATTGGCCTCATTTTTTTTTTTTTTTCTTTCCACTTAAAAAATGCCTGAGCTCCATCTTATCGGATATGTTCATTGGCCTCATTTTTTTTTTTTTTTCTTTCCACTTAAAAAATGCCTGAGCTCCATCTTATCGGATATGTTCATTGGCCTCATTTTTTTTTTTTTTTCTTTCCACTTAAAAAATGCCTGAGCTCCATCTTATCGGATATGTTCATTGGCCTCATTTTTTTTTTTTTTTGGAGAGGTTTTTGCTATAGGGCGCATGCGCTTGCCAGACAGACAGAGCTTGCTAAAGATCAGCGGGTTAAAGAACAACGAGACATCAGAAACTGCAGAGAAAATCTAGGAGCCCACAGGTGTTGGGTCATCAGGAGAGTCACGATGTGTTTTTCTATGCAAAAATGAGTCGTGACGTTCCTGACCTAATACAATGTGGGAGTCAGACTTTCCTTCAGCAAGGATCCAAACTGGGTATTTCTGCCCCCCACGCTGTATGGCCCACTCAGAGGACAGGTCAGTTTCTGGCTCTACGTATGGATGTTGAGTCCTTTCACCCTAACGCTTATCCTCGATGCCAGTGTGAGTAGAACATGCTGTTGTGCAGCGCTACCTCTGGGTGTTCAGTAGAACAGAGACCTGGCCAGAATGTACGTGCTGCCGCTGAGGGAACTGCGTTGCGAGCATTATTCTAAGAGTCCTAAAGCACGCTCTGCCTCCATCTCTCTCTTCCAACGCCCCACCTGCTGCTGTGACCCAGGCGCATTATCCGCGACTTGCTTGAGACCGAAGAGATTTATATTAAAGAAATTAAGAGCATAATTGATGTAAGTAGATTGGGGTGGGGGTATTGAGCATATACTCAAGCTGGAAAAGTTTTGTTGCACAGACAGAAAATTAGTTGCCAAATGTCTCCAGAGTTTCCCCCCAAGTTTCAGATTTTTATAATACCGCAAGTGTCACTCTGTTGGATTAGTGCTCACTGGGCATCTTCCATAAAAGTGACAGCCGTTTGTATATCTGTGTTGACTTCTTATTCATTGTCCTTGCCAGTAGGAATAAGACGATTATTATTTTTTAGAGGTTTTTTCCCCCCATAGGGTGCATGCATTCACCAGAGAGAGACCATGAGAGGGAAAGTGAGAACTCATGCCCTGTAGGAATGGCCACACCACAATTCCGTCTCCTCCATTTCCCTCCCGGGATCTTGGGCGCACACGCACGTGCACCCAGTATCATTTTCAAGCCTCGAGGCCAGGCGCTTGAACCACGGTTGACCGTGTGGAAGTCCAGCACCTCCGCCACCACATCATCTGCTGGTCCCCAGGATAAGAACATTCTTCACTCCAAAGAATTGCGCCAGTTCGTATTTATTTCAGGAATGACCAATGAGGTTCACATATGCTGACCCACAAAGGATATTAGAATTCACATGCTTTTGATACTTTCATAAGGGAAGACTATTTCTTATTTAATTTTGCATACATACAGAATTTTTAAGTTTTAGAGGGTTTTTTTAGCCATAGGGTAAGTGTACTCATCAGAGAGACCCAGAAAGAGGGGGGGAGTGAGAAAACAGCCCTGGGGGATGACCACACGGTGATTCCTTTTCCTCCTTTATCCTCTCAGGATTTGGGGCACACATGCACATGTGTCTGGCGTGTTTTTCAAACCACTGGTCCAGAACTTGAACTGTGTGGTTGACCACGTGGGGTCCAATGCCTTAGCCACCACCCTACCTGCTGGCCTACCCAAAGGAAGTATGTGCTAGAATGGCTTCCAGGGGCCGTGTGTCCTGTAGGCCCCGGTCGTTTTAGTAAGACTTTGGATCTTGAAGTAGCTCACTCGGATTCTCTCTCACGTGTTTCTATCTGTAAAACCTGCTCGTTTCCACCTCCGCAGGGGTATATCACTCCAATGGATTTTATCTGGCTAAAGCATCTGATTCCAGATGTTCTTCAGAATAACAAGGATCTCCTGTTTGGGAACATTGCAGAGCTCTATGAATTTCACCACAGGTGTGCATTTCTAAAGCTTGGAACTTGGAGATGATGTTAAATGTTTTTGGGCCTGAGCAGGTGGTTTGGGGTCAGTGGGCTGGGTCAGGGCAGGAGTGTGAGAAGGAGGGAGAAGCTCCCGGGGTCTCTGAGGGAGAGGGGGAAAGGCCTCCGTGGAGCGCGGAGCTGTGTCAGGCACCAGTGTCGTTCAGCGGTGTGTCCCTGAGCTCGTCTCCTCATGCCGCACCAGCATTTACTGGGCCTCTGCTCCAGGCTCTGTGCTCCACACTGTGGTGCGAGGGTGACCGAGGTCCTGTCGGCATGGAGGATGCTGGGAAGGAGGGTGTAGGAGACGTCACCTGGTCAGAGGAGTAGTCCTGGCAGCGCAGGGCTTCTTGGGTAATGATTCCCCAGAACTGGAGGAGGAAGTGACTCAGGGAAGCGTCTCCCACTCTTACTCACACGTGAGGAAACTGCCGCTTCTCCATCGCCTCTACTCACTGTGATGGCATCAAGCCCACACCGCTGATCGGTGGAGAGAGAAGGACGCTGGGCGAGTTTCCCCACACCGTTTACCAACCCAGCCCTGTCTATGCACAAGACACCAGACTGAAGCCGAACCCTCCTGCCACTTTCTCTAGAGAAGTCGCTCAGCGCCTTGGAGCTCAGGTTCACACTTTTGAAAGCCTGCCATGCCGAGTTTGGTGGAGTAAATGAGATACTATTTGAGAAGCACTTAGCTATGCCTGCCCTGCAGTCAGCTCTCGCGGGTGTTAGCAGCAGCCATCGCAGAGGTTCTTGGGCGCATGAGCGTCACACGGTCCAGTCGGTCTAAGCTCGTGCTTAGCATTCTCAGAGCAGCTGCGGTGGCTTCAGAGTAATGCCTTGGAATGCTTTTTTCTTTTTTTTTTTTTTTAAGAGGTTTTTGCCTTAGGGCGTGTGCACGCGCTGGAGAGAGAAAGAGACAGAGACAGTGAGAGGGAAAGTGAGAAGTCATCCTCCAGGGGGGATGGCCACATCACAATCTCTTCTCGTCCAATCTCCTCCTAGGATCTTGGGTGTGCATGCACATGAGTTTCAAGCCACTGGGTCCAGACCTTGAACCATGGTCGGCCACATGAGAGTCCAATCACATAACTGCTACGTCGTTTTCTAGGCATCTCTTAAAACCTATGTGATTTGGGGCCAGCCAGTGGTGTGGTAGTTGAGGCAGCTGGATCCCATGTGACCGGCTGAGCAGTTCAAGTCCCTGACCTATTAGCTTAAAAAACACGCCGGCCACATGTGCATGCATGCCCAAAATCCCAATAGGAAAATGGAGGGGAAGGGATTGTGGTGTGGTCATCCCTGGAAGGTGGGATGACTTCTCACTTTCCCTCTCTCTCCCCCTCTGTCTCTCTGACAAGCACACATGCCCTATAGAAAACAAAACAAAACAAACAGAAAAGCTTATGTGATATTCTTGTTTAAAAAAAAAAAAAAAAAAAGAAGTAACACCCATACATGTAAAAATCAAGACATTGTTACATTTTTTTCTCCCCAGGACTTTTCTTAAAGAGTTGGAAAAGTGCGCTGAAAACCCAGAAGCCCTGGCGCATTGTTTTCTCAAGCAAGTAAGTCTGAGCCCCAAGTAAATCACATTAACCACGTGAGTGGAGTGTGAGTGGTGAGGGCACACGGAGACACCGACGGTCTGTTTTCCTCCACCCCACCCTCCAACTTTATGAAAGTACGCTTTGCCTAAAATCCCATGTGTTCAAGGTGTACATGACGGCGTTACGTGTGTATACATTGGGAAGTGACCACAGTCAAGCGAATTAGCACGCCCGTCATAGTCACCGTCCTGGGAGATCTGGTCAGGATGAGCTTGGAGGAGCAGAGAAGGGTGGCCCAGGCGGGCGGGGGGACGCAGGTGTTGTCCGCTGTGCAGGCTCAGCTGCAAGGTAAGTTCTACAGTGGGTGTGCCGTGGTGATTGGGTGGTGCCGTGTACTCGGAAGTCGCTGAGGGAAGGCCCTCTCTCTGTCGCCCACATGAGAAACAGGAGTCCTTTGCAGTAGGGTTGGCTTCCCAGCTTGGTCTCTCTTCATGTAGCATGAGGAGGATTCTAGTCCGAGCTCACACTCCTAGGTAGGCATAACCGCACATCCCAGCGAGATGGGAGTCTGGACACTCATGCCCCAAACCAACGATCTTCTGAAAGGGCGAGGCATGTTGACGGCAAGAGCCGGACAGAGGGCCCCAAGCCTCACGCTAAAGCTGCATTAGTTCTCTTATGAGAAGTATTGGTGTTAAACTAAAAATCCCAGGAAATATGTTTTCTTCTGTATTTGTACTTACTTACTTAGACTTTTTTCCATGACAGAGAGACAGAGGGAGGCAGAGACGGGCACCTCAGAGTCCTCATGCTGCGCCCCCAGTCTCTGACAGCCTGGCCCGCTGGTGTGTGTGCGTGCATGCGTGCGTGTGGCACCCAGCATACCCAGGAGCTCCCTGGGACACAGACCCGTGACTTTTTCCACGTGGCTCTGGTTGTGTGACAACTGTGCCACCATCTGGCCCCCCCACTTTATTTTTTAAAGCACAAGGATGGTTTGGATTTTTGTTTGTTTGTTTGTTTAGTTTGCTATATGACGCGTGTGCTTACTACAGAGAGGGGAAATGAGAACCCCTCTATCCTTCCAATCGGGGAGATGGCCACTCCACAATCCCTTTTCCCCTTCTCTCCTCAGGATTTTGGACACGCACGTACATGTGGCCGGCATGGGTTTCAAGCCACTGGGTCCAGGACTTCAGCCACACAGCTGGCCACGTGGGACCCAGCCGCCTTAACCTCTACGCCCCCTGCCGGCCCCTGACTTGAAATGTTTAAATCTGCAACTTGTTTTATGCTTAGCACAGTCCGTGATGTTCCTGTTCCCCAACGCCATTCTTCCAGCCCAGCGCCTTCCTCACCACCCAGACTTCTTCCCTCTTTGGGCTAGTGGGACCTGGCACAGAGAAGTGTCCTTCCCAGCATCACTCTCTGCAGGCACTTCCGTGCCCCAAAGGGTGACCACAAAGATGACCCTGGCTTTCTCTCTGTGAGGTCTTCAAATGTATATTATGAAACTGAGTATTATGAAAAACTGTGGGACCAGCAGTTGGCGTAATGGCTTTGTCACTGGACTCCCATGTAGTCGACTGCGGTTCAAATCCCGGTCGAACCCAGTTCAACTCACACCAGGTGCATGTGCATGCGTGCCCAAGATCCCGAGAGGAGAGTGGACAAAGGATTGCAGCACAGCCATCCCCCCAGGGGGTGATTTCTCCCTTTCTGTCTCTCTTTCTCTCTCCTTCTGGAGAGTGTATACACCTCATAGCAAAAACCTCTCCAAAACAAAAGAAAAACTATGCACATAGTTTTGAAAAATTTTTGAATGAAAATAAACTCATACTTTAATTCCATTTTTCATGAGCTTTTTGTTTCTTTTGAAAGAACTATTTATTTAATTTTATTTACTATTATCATTATTTCTCAGTTTGCTATAGGGTACCAGAGGGAGAGAGGGAAAGTGAGAAAGCAAGCCACCGGATCCAGGACTTAAATTTCAGTGGGCCATGTGGCAGTCTAGCACCTTCAGCACCACGCCGAAATTTCCTCTTTCCTACTTCTTCCTTCTTTGCAACTCGCCTTCATTTACCTTCTCCTTGTTTTTCTTTTCATGAGCCCAAGACAAGTCAAACACCTTAAAAAAATTTAAATATCCAAATCATAGCTGATAAATCTAAGAACAAAACTAGTGATAAAATGAAAGCAAACTCCCCTCCCCCCCCGCCCCTGTATTTCAAGGGTCTGACTGAAAGGAGAAACAACCTTCAGCCTCAGAGCCCGTCCTAGCCCCACCTCAGTTCTCAGCCTCCTCAGGGCTTCTCATTAAGTGGCAGAACTCAAGGTGTATGAGAAACTCTCTTGTCCTCTGATCCCATTCCTTCCTGGATGACTAGCATAGGTTTAGCAGTGTGTTGTGGTATTTCACACTCATCACACTACAAATGTCAAGAACTATTTTGTGGGACCAGCAGTTAGCATAATGGCTATGTTGCTGAACTCCCATGTAGTTGATCGCGGTTTGAGTCCCGGACCTGGTGGCTTAAACTCACACTGGGTACATGTGCATGAATGCACAAGATCCCGAGAGGAGAATGGAGGAGAATGGCAGCATGGCCATCCTCTCGGGGGGTGGTGTGTGTGTGTGTGTGTGTGTGTGTGTGTGTGTGTGTGTGATTTATCCCTTTCTGTCTCTCTGTCTCTCTCTCTGTCTTTCTGGCGAGCATACATGCCCTATAGCAAAAACCTCTTTTCAAGGAAAAAAAAGAGGTTTCTTCTATACATCATCCCATTTAATCTCACAGTAATCATCGTAGTTGACTACTGTTATAAGCCCACTTAGCAGATGAGGAAACTAAAGGCCGGGAAAGTTAGGTAACTGACCCCCGTCTTCATCCGTTAGAAAGACTGATGAAGCCAAGAACAGAACCTAAGCCATTTACCACCGAGGCCCACAGTCTTAATCCAAAAGCAGCCATGTCTCCTTGTGTGAATGTGAGTTTTTGGTAGCAATTTTATATCCTGATTTATTCTATAAGGTGATGAGAGAAACTGAGTACTTTTATATATTTCTGGTTATGGTGCATTCTTTCTCAAAAGGATTTTGTACTGGCGGACTCTTCACCAACTGGCTCCTCTCAGTGCCTCCTGTGAGTCAGGCAGACCAGCGTCTTCGCCTGTGTCACTTCTGGGTGACTGTGGCATAGACACTAAGATGCGAGGGACCAGGACTTTCTCATTCAATGATGTCTCCCCAGCGGCTGGTTCAATATTGGTTTCTAGGACCCATAGCCTGGCAGAGAGTATAGGCTGTCTCTCCCTGACTCTTACCTGGCCCATGGAACTGGATTTTGGCATGGCTTTGACCCCTGCGCATCCCAGCTTCCTCTAGGTTGGTTTCTAAAACCCGGAGCTCAGTGACTTAACTCTCTTCACTAAGTCATACCTCTGTGGTTCATCGGATGGCCAGAAATCAATGCAGAAACACGAGGACACTATATAGAACCAAAAGAGCTAACTCACAAGAAGATCTGTCAATTATAAACATCTATGCACCCAACACTGGAGCACGCAAATATGTGAAAGAAAGGCTCCTAGACCTAAAGGCAGAAATACACTGTGACACAGTAATTGTTGGGGACCTCAGCACCCAGCTGCCTCATCCAGACGAAAAATAAGCAAAGAGATACAGGATCTAAACAATACCATAAACTAAGTGGACTTGAGGGACATCTATAGAACTTTTCGCTCAACAACACCAAGTGTACATTTTCTACCTCCCTCATGGAAGATTTTCAAAGACTGACCACATGATAGGGCACAAAGCAAGCCTTCACAAATTCAAAGCTATTGAAACTATACCCAGCATCTTCTCCAACCACATTGGAATTAAACTCGAAGTGGATAATTCACAACACATGGAAAGTAAACAACCTACTCCTGAATGACCTCACAAGCACTGAAGAAAGTAGGAAAGAGAACAAAAGATTCATTGAAACCAATGATAACAAGCACACAAGTTTCCATAACTTATGGGATACAGCCAAAGCATTCATAAGAGGGAAATTTATAGCAATTGGTGCTCACAAGAAAAACATGGGAAGGTGGCAAATAGACAACTAACAACACACGTCAGGGAACTTGAAAAACAAAAACAGCAACAAAAAAGAGAGAGAGCAAAGAAAGATGAACATTCAAGCAGAAATAAATGAAACAAAGAATAAAAGAACTAAACAAAATCAATTAAATGGGGCGAGTGATGTGGTTGTTAAGGGCACTGGACTCCCACATGGCCGACCGTGGTTTGAGTTCCTGGCCTGGTGGCTTGCTTTCTCACTTTCTCTCTCTCTTTGTCGCTCTGTCCCTCTCTGGTTAAATTTAAGTAAATAAATAAACAAAGTTAAATAAAATCTTTAAATAAAAATTAAACCAAAAGCTGGTTCTTTGAGAAGAAAAACAAAATTGACACACCATTAGCAAGGCTAATTAAATAGAACAGATAAAAGAACCAGATAAATCATATCAGCAATGAAACAGGCGATATCACAACAGGCGCATCCCAGCTTCCTCTAGGTTGGTTTCTAAAACCCGGAGCTCAGTGACTTAACTCTCTTCACTAAGTCATACCTCTGTGGTTCATCGGATGGCCAGAAATCAATGCAGAAACACGAGGACACTATATAGAACCAAAAGAGCTAACTCACAAGAAGATCTGTCAATTATAAACATCTATGCACCCAACACTGGAGCACGCAAATATGTGAAAGAAAGGCTCCTAGACCTAAAGGCAGAAATACACTGTGACACAGTAATTGTTGGGGACCTCAGCACCCAGCTGCCTCATCCAGACGAAAAATAAGCAAAGAGATACAGGATCTAAACAATACCATAAACTAAGTGGACTTGAGGGACATCTATAGAACTTTTCGCTCAACAACACCAAGTGTACATTTTCTACCTCCCTCATGGAAGATTTTCAAAGACTGACCACATGATAGGGCACAAAGCAAGCCTTCACAAATTCA